GTGCGCGTGCACTTTCGGTGCAGCTGGAGGTGAATTGCGCCGCAGTCGGCCTTTCTGGCGCCGCTGCGGCAGTATGCGGCAGCACTGCGGCACCATCGGCAGGACTGCAGCCGGAGGGAGCAGCGAGGACACGGACACACCTGGCCTGCAACCCCTCCCGTGCGACCCCCGCAAGGCCCGCAAGGCTGCCAACCTCGGGTCATTATCCCTCTTTGTGAGAGTTAAAAGGCCTGATATTGCGCTTTTCAGTGGCTCAAGTGGGGGCACCGCGCGTCCCCGGATGACACACACACACAGACACACGCGCACACACACGAGATGCCTTGCAGCGTCTTCCTCGTGTTATTCGTCTCGCAGATTATCTCGGCAAGCGGATGATTGACTGTTTTTATAAGGCACTTTACCCGCCCTATCACCCCCGGGCCGGCCTGGCCGGGCGGGGCGGTGTCAACGCTCCGCGACAATAACAACAGTTTATTCATTTTCAAGTCGATCATCGCGCCGCGCGCTGTGCGCCGCCAGACTTTTGAGGTTCATCGCTCCCCGAGGTCATGCAATGCGATGCAGTCGCTGCAGTGCGCTGCCGTGCTGGCCGCCGTCATGCCGCCGTCATGCCGCCGTGCTGACCGGGGCCGGCCATGCGATGCGACTCTCTAGCACGACATGCGCGACCAGCCGGCCGGCCGTCGAAGGCACTGCCAGGACTCAGCTGCCGCCACGCAATGACGCCCGAATGGCGCAGGCTCGCCGCTTCCAGCCTAGTCCTGGTTTCCAGGTTCCAGCCGACCATGATGGTGATTGAAATATCAATGGATACTAAAAACAATGTGAGCAGCCCGGCCCGCCTGCCCGGCCGGGCCGGTGTAGTGCCAAAAGGACCACATAGGCCGAGCGAGAGGCTCTTTTACAAACTCAGACAGCCCGCCTTTTGTAGGGGAGGATCTTTTCTCCCGAGTGTGTTTGATCACAAAGGAGATCGCTGTCCTCAGACGACGCGCTGCCGCGCTGCCGCGTGCCCCCTCCCCTCCCCTCCGCCAGGTAACGCAATCAGCACGAGCAACGCCGTGTAACCGCCCCGCCGCCGCCCCGCCGCGCTGGCGTAGGACGGCGCCCAGACTCCGGGACAGGCTGCTTCCGAACACTGATCCTTTCGTCGATCCGTCTCGATCGCACTCATGCGGCGGATGGCGGGGGCGCGAGAGGGGCGGCCTGCCTCCAGGCCCTCCAGGCCCTCCAGGTGAGGCCCGACGGCCGCCTCGCCTCCTCGTTACGCGGTGCGTGCGCGCTGTTTCGCTGTTTCGTGCCATTAGCGGCCGCGGCGGATCATCGGGGCGGTGCGGCGTGGGGCGCCGTGGGGTGGCGAGGGTGCACGGCCACGGCGAGGTGCCCGACGGCGGCGTGCACGTGTCCGGCGTGGTGGACGCCGTGCAGCAGCACCGGGGGATGAAGGCAGGCCGTCGAGGCCGCGGTAACCACCGCCACGCCGTCAGCGCGCCGCTCGCAGCCCTGGTGCGGCCTGGTGCACGCCGTCGTCGTGCGCCGCGGGGGTGGCGGCGTGGCGCGGCGGGGCGGGGCGGGGCGCCCTTTTTGCCTGCAGTGTTTACCTTCAGCCCCGACCCGACGAGCCGACGGGCCGACGCGGGGAGAGAACGAAGCGAGAGAGAGAGAGGGACTCCCCTGAAACCGGACACCACCTCGCCCACCACTATTGCTCCAACTCCCCCGCCCGTCCCCGCTCCAAGCCCCGCTCCCCGTCACTCAGACAGACAGTTCGCTCCCACACAATGGCCGCGGGTGGCGCCCTGCCCGTCCTGCCCGTCCTTGCCGCCGAGAGGGCCGAAGTTTGAACCGAACGGCTTGCAGCGAGGCTTGCAGCATGCGGGCTGCCACTGCCATGGCTGCCATGGGTTATCGGCACATCAGCGCCACTTGCACCACTTGGGCCGCTGGGATTTGACGCGAACGGGACGCGGTCACGCGGGGGGCGTGTACAGCGTGTAAAACATCCCGCCGGACAAACTGGACGCGTAATTACGCCGCGGCAGTGCCTGGCAGTGCCTGGCAGTGCCTGGCAGTGTGGCGCCGTGGGAGTGGAGAGAGCCGCGGGGAGCTTTCGGCAGAGCCGCAATCTGGAGCGAGGGAGCGAGGAGGCCTGGCGGGCGGCGGGCGGCAGGCGTGCTGCACACCAGCAGGTGGCGGCCAGAGCGGCGAGGAGCCACCAGGAGCCACGCGCCGCCAAGCCGGCCGGACCAGAGGCACCTGTGGAGTCCGGCTGAGTCTTACTCCTGTTCTGTCCAAGTACCATCATCCCATTACAGTGCTCCCTCCTTGTAAGCTGCCTCCCTCCAGCCTGATTTTTTTATTTTCGCTGTGTACCCTCGACCCTCGGCGAGCTCGCCGTCTGACAGGGGTCTGACGAGTGCAGCCATAAACCCGGACGGTCGCCAAAACGTCGGACCATGGTATGGACCGATAGGTGCCTCCACAATAGGAAGCAGGTAGCACGGCGAGCCCGGCAGAAGGCGTGGTCGGCATCGGGCCTCAACGCGATCGCTTTTATTGGCCTCTCGGTGCGCGAGCTCGACCCTCGCCGTCCCTTGCAACACGTGTTCAACTGTTTCTTCTGTTCTCTCCAACCTGGACTTGTCCCCCGAATCCTCAGGTTGGAGGGAGGGAGCACTGTACGAGTGCCGCACCCTGTTGTTGCTGCCCGCGTCCACCCCCCCCCCCTTCCCCAGCTCCAACTCACCCTCGCCTCTGGGGGCAGGCCTCTGGGGGCGCACGATAGAACTAAACCGCACTCACTTAGTGTGTACTTGGCGTCCCACGGGGACATGGGGTGGCTTGGCGTGATAATAAAATCATGGCCTCGAACGCCTCTCGACACCCATGCCGACACCGCGAGCTGCAGCCTGCCTCCAAGTCTGCCTCAAAGTCTGCCTCCAAGTCTGCCTCGAAGTCGCCTCGAAGTCTGCCTCGAAGGTCTGCCTCGACGTCTGCCTCGAAGGTCTGCCTCGACGTCTGCCTCGAAGTCTGTCGCGAAGTCTACTTCGAAGTCTGCCTAAGTCTGTCTCGAAGTCTCGAAGTGGCGAGGTCCTCGAAAGCCCAGTGATCTGCGAGCGAGGGGGCAACCACTCGCGAAGTCCTGTGTACACTTGATTTGCCGAAATCTTGCGCGAAATCGGTAGAAATCTCGCGAAATCCCACCAAAAACTCACGAAATGTGGCTTAATTTTTACGCGAAATCCTGCGATATCTGGCGAAATCTCGACAAAATCCCTTTGAAGAATCATGTGTACAAAAAAGTTTCGAGTGGTTGCCCCCTTGTCTGCGAGTGGCCGCTATCTCGGGGAAGAGGGAAAGTACGTGGACGCGTCCACGGCAACCTCACGCAAATACCCTAGCAGGCCTGTCGGCAGTGTCAGCGCGTGCTGAGAGGATGGCGGAGCGTTCAAGCGAATTCGAAGAACGGTGAGTTGACGCTCGGCGCCAGGCCTTGAATGACAAGTGCGATTTCCCTAGCTCGGCCAGGTGCACGAGGTGCGCGTTGCGCCCCGTCCTGTGAGGCCACGGCGGCTCATCGCCCGTCTCATCTCGTGGATTCACAGCGCTTGGACCTTCCGAAAACATTGCGCTGTTTTGCGAAGGGTTTGGCTGCAAGGTTGCAAAGGAATTCCCTCGCAAGTGCGACTTCGGGCATCCTCGGCGACAAGGGCCGTCACGGGCGGGACCCGCATGGAGTCAGCCCATGAGGGTGCACAGTCAACGACAATGTAAATTATTCCGGAATTAAATTAATATATGTTAATTTCATTGACTACATTTTACCAAATTTACTAGGCCGAATCTTGGTACACAATGGAGCCGTACCCGCGGATCTAATCCGGTTTAAGGTCGACCCCTGATGGGCTGTGCTCACCCCTCTACCTGTCGTGCATTAACCCACGCCCTCCTGTTTACGTACACCCTCGGCTACCCCGCCCCACCCCGCCCCACCCCGCCCCACCCCGCCCCACCCCGCCCGCGGGCGCGCCCCGGCTGGAGTGCTATTTGCCAACATGGCGCGGCGCGGCACTCCTCGAAAACAATCTGCTTCCTCGCCATGAAAGCGATACCCGGCGATACTGGGGCTGTTATGGACCCTTGTTTTCGACAGCGGGAATAAACGCTCCGCCGGGAGCGCTCTAATTTGGTGATGATTATTGTCGATTTTAAAAATACCTCAGTCACGTTTTCGCTGGAGGCTCCGCCTTGCTCCGCCCTTGGTTTCGCTTTTATCAGTGTACGGCCCCGGCGTCGCGGCTGGTCGCGGCGTCTCCACACCCCCGCCCGCCCCGGCCGCCGCTCCGCGCCGCGCTCCGCCACGCCCCGCCGCGCCCCGCCCCCCGCGAAGCGCCGCCTCCAGCGGGCCGGCCAGGCCGGCGCGCCGCAATAGCCCAATGAGCGGCGCGAGCGGCGCGGCCGGAGAGGAGGAGGGGGTGCTCGAGGTGCTTGGAGGCGCGGAGAGGGGGGACCCGGCCGCCCCGCCGCCCCGCCCGGCAGGCCAAGCGAGGCAAGGCAGGCAAGGGACACGCAGGACTCCATTCCAGAGTGGAGCCCCGAGAGCCGCGCGTCGCGTCCCCGTGTCCTCGAGCTGGCCGTCGAGGCCGTAGTGTCGACGAGCACCCCGCGTGGCGCCGCGCCCGACGGCCCGACGACGGCCCGACGCGAGTGCAGGTGTGAGTGTGTGTGCGTGCGTGTGTCCGTGAGTGCCCCAATGCGCCGCCCGCCCCTCGGGCCCCTCGCCCTCGCCGCCGTCCCAGAATAGCCTGCCTGGCCAGCCCTGCCAGCCCTGCCATGCTGGCGGGATGCGGCCCGTGCGGCCCCCCGGGCCCCGTCGGCGGCCTGGGTCTGTCCGCGGCCCACGGGCTGTCCGCGGGGCTGTCGGCCGGGCTGCCGGGGCTGCAGGGCCTGCAGGGGCTGCCGAGCGGGCTGCTGCTGCCCCAGTTGTCCGGCGACCCGGCCGGCCTGAGCACGCCGACGTCCGCGGGGCACAGCATGCTGGGCCACAGCCCCGCGCACCATCACCACCACCACCACTTCGCGCAGCCGCCAGTGTCCCCCGGCCAGCAGCCCGGCCAGCAGGCCAGCATGTCGCCGCTCTTGCCGTCCTTCGGCTTCACGCAGGAGCAGGTGGCGTGCGTGTGTGAAGTGCTGCAGCAGTCGGGCAACATCGAGAGGCTGGGCCGATTCCTGTGGTCCCTGCCCGCCTGCGACAAGCTGCACAAGAACGAGAGCGTGCTCAAAGCCAAAGCCATCGTCGCCTTCCACCGCGGCAACTTCAAGGTGTGTGCCCATGGGCCCAGCAGGCCCCGCAGGCCCAGCACGTGGTCAAGTGCTAGTGTGTGGATGTGTGAGTGCGTGAGTGTCTGAGTGTAGGTCGTCAAAGCTTGCCGGAATACTTGGTGACAGTGAACCCGTGCACCCGGTGGCATCGAAGAGTAGCACCTCACACCTCATTTTGGTAGAGCGGCTTGTGACAGTCACACAGGCGTGTCACAGCTGTCACGTGTCAGTGGCTACTCTGACATGCGTGACAACAGTGTAAACAAGTAGTTTAGGGACCAAGAAACAAGCGTTCGAACCTTTTTAATGTCGGAGAATTCCTGAAGCCTGTATCTAAATTTAGTAACATGGGAGAAAGAGATGAAATTTCTTCACCTTATTTTGACTTTTTCTCTTTATCTTCACTGTAAATAAGGCTTAGTAATCATCATGCAGTATGTACAGTGATCAGAATACTGTCCGAGACGGTTAAGCGCAAACAATAATGTAAAACGCAAGGGTGTGTACAGAGTGCACTTTTTCGCACTGATAGTGTGTACTCGTTCACACTTAAGTGCTCCCATGTGTGCAATCAGTACACACTAAATTTTAAGTGTAATTGTACTGTTTTGTTGAAACTGACACAGTAATTTCCGCGTTTCTGAAGTTTTTGCACGATTTCGTGTGAGAGTGCGGACAGCATTGTACGAATTTTATACACTTTAACAATAAGTGCATAGTCCTGTGATAATTTGCCTTTCACAGTTCAAGTTTGTTTAGTAGAAACTGGCATATACATTATCTTTCCTCTGTTTTATGCCATTTTTCGGCACTATTTTGCTGCGCGAATTTGACGAATTCTGCAGCTTACGTACATACTAACACTCATTTCACCAAAAATTGATGACGCGAAACCGGCTGTCTCGGCGCTCTCGCCTCGTCGCTATCTTTGCGTATAAACGGTTATCTACAACCGGTTGGCGTTCCAAGAAGTGACGCGCCCGCGCTCCGCACTCGAGCAGTTACTTGCATATGTGCTTTGTTGCACGGCTAAGTTCGAGGCCGTCTGGGGCGCGCGGCGGGCGCGGGGCGGCCCCGGGGCCTAGAGGCTGTCTCGGCTGCCTTGCCACGCGGCGTTCGAAAAGTATTTGAATAGCATTATTTACTTGGCTTTGGAGGGCCAACACCGGGGCCCTCTGACACGATAAAGACAATGTCGGCACTTGTCTGCGAACGCATGTCGCGCTATCTGATTACGCACTCCTGGTGGCAATTCTGTGTGGTTTGACTTGGCAGCGATCTTGGGAAAAGATCTATAGGGAATGTAAAAGGATAAGTGGAGAGAGCGAGTACGCAAATATTGTGTGAGGCCGCGTTCGTAACGCGGAGTGACTTGCGTGTAAATTGGAGCAAGTCACCGCGGCACGCCGGCTGTTAGCGAGAATCGACTCACAGGTGTTCTTACGGATCGCAAATAGAGCAAACATGTCTGACAGCCAAATCGCGGAATCATGGATCCGTGGAATCGGCGGGGCACCAGACCGCCATGGACGGCCAGGGCCGCTGCCACTGCCCTGTGGACGGATGGTCGCGGTTTCCGGCACTCTTGGGAATCAAGGGACACTTGTAGTGGCATCCTTCAGAGGCAAGGGGGGCACAAGCCGCACTTTCTTTCACAATTCTCATTTTTCCGCCCGCTTGCTGGATGCCTTCCTGGATCCGCCTTTGTTTCAACTGAAGGGAAAATCGACTGGAGCAGGATTACCATGCTGAATTTTGCCGAGTTTGATTTTTATTCTTTCTAGTTTGGGGGGAAACGACAATTTCCCCTAGTGAAATTGTGACATGAGATGCGACGTTCCCAAACGCAAAGTGTAATTCGATTCCTGAAAATCGGTGAAACGACAATCTTGAGGCGTCCGGCCCGTCCACGCTTTGCGTCTACTTTTCCGACATTGTCGACTTTGTCCGTCCGTGGTCCAGAGTGCCCCCGAGCCGCGCGCTGCTATGAACGCTGGCCCGAGGCTGGCCGAACGCTTCGATGCGATTAGTCGGGAACGAACTGGGCGCGGTGGACGTGGTCCAGGATGATTCAGATCGCGGAAAACCACTCCTACACCGGCAGTCCTAGAGTTGCGGCATCTCCCATTTTTGGCTGCCGCAAAGCGTGGCGCATCTTTGCCGGCTTGTTGTCACCTCGCTGGCCGAGTGTCGCCGAGGCTGTGAATAATGGTCCAGCTTGAGCGGGTAAGTGGGGCTGATGACGCCCAGGCTGGCAGGCGCGGCCAGCCCGTCCCATCATCTCGGCTGTACCTTCCCGCCCTGCGGCCCCTCGGCCCCTCCGGCCCAGTCAACGCTCGCGCTATAGCGCTGGATACCTCCATTATCCGCTCCAAACCGCCAGTTCGGCCGATCGGCCCCGAAAAAACAACTCCGGCGCCGTAAACGAGCAGCCAATCAATTGCACTTACGTATCCGTGAACCTAATGAAAACATAAAAATTCCTCGGCGCGGCAAGTCGGCGCGGGGTATCGCCGCATCGCCGCTTCGGCATGGCTGGCCGGCAGCGAGGCGAACACGTCGCGATGGCTATCACGTGTGTGTTTGTCCCGGGGCGGCGTCAGGAGTCCTGTTAGCAGGAGCGGCGGATTAATTTCGGACCCGAATCACGCCGCGCAGGAAGGAGCTCCGAGGGCGCCCCCGTGGCCCCCGTGGCCCCCGTGGCCCCCGTGCGGTACGTCCACGGATTTTGCCGGTTTTATTGCCAACTATTCCGTAGAAATCATTCCTCTTTTCTCCGTATCTAATCACTGCAGTTGACGAAGTCGCGCTGTCGACTCTGCCCCGAACCTCCCCTTGTGCCATGTTGTGTACCCCCACCCCGAGTCCCGGCCAGCCAATCAGGGCCGGCCGAGGGAGGGGTGCTCCGCGGTCCGCGAGGGCGAAGGCGGCGAAGGGTGAGCCGAGTGGAGCGCGGTTGGATCGGGTGCCGAGTCGGGGCAGGGTGCGATCATTTGCTACCCGGACATTGTTTTCAGTCATCTGTTCCGTGTCGGAGGGAATTATGCATGAGTTTAGGCGACTTAATATCCCTCCCCCGAGTGCCTCGGCTGCCTCGGCCTCCTCGGCCGGCCGGCGGGGTTGTGTTGCGTTGCGGCCCGAGCAATGTTGCCAACCATTTTGACCAACCCCCAGCGCGCCCAGCGTCGACCGACCGGTTTTCTCCCCCCATTTACACGTCGCCGAACTTTTGCCGGTGCACGCGGCGCGGCTGGCGGGGCTGGCGAGGCTGGCAGCACTGCTGGCAGCGCCTTCAAGTGCGCGCGCTGCGTGGCGTGGCTGGCCTGGCGTCGTGTACGTCGTGTTGTTTTGGCACGGCTTTGTTGGCAACCCTGGCTGACTTTAAGGGCAGGTGCTGCATGCGTAGTGGTGGCAGCCCTGCGCGGTGCCGCGGTGCCTCTGTGTGGCGGGGTCCTGCACAAACATTGACTCTGTGGTCCGGGGCAGCCTGGGCCTGAGCAAGGAGGCCGACAACACTGTTAAAAAGCCACAACAAAAACAAAGCGTTCGATGTAGCTCCACCGTCTTCCCGCAAAGTCACTTGATTTGACAATGTCGCTGCGCGGTTGTCACCCCTGCCTTTAGTTCTCAATGAAGCCGACCGAACTTTTCGTGTTGTGGCCGGCCTGGCTGCCAGCCCGGCTGGCTGCCTGGCTGGCTGCCTGGCTGGCTGCGTCTGTGTGCAAGGGCTGAGTGAGTGGGGGCCGCAATGAGTCGGTAAATATTGACGGCGAGGGAGAGACTCGGGGGTGGAGGCCGCCGAGGTCGCCGAGGACGGGGTGCGCCCGCTCGACCTTCGTGCACCTCCGTGACGCCCGCCATTTTGTCTGTTCAAATTCCTGGCGTGCTTTGGGTCCGCGTCGTCCCCGGCGGTGCTGCAGCTTGCTGCAGGCGGTAATCACGCCGGTATTGGCTTTCCACGTACCGTCCGTCAGGCCGTCCAGCCGCGGGCCGAGTCCATTGAGAGCCTCGGCCCGGCCAGCCCGGCCGGCCCGGCCTGCAACGACTCTGATAATGACAATGCCCGCGGCGTGTCCATCGGCCGGCCAGGCCCTTGGCCAGGCCCTTGGCCAGGCCCCGGGCGGCGAGGAAGTTACAGGCTGCACCGTCTCGGACGTACCGGCGTACCGCGTGGTGGCGAAAAGTTTCATTCACGGAAAACCGCTCGCCGGGACGCGCTTTCGTTGCGTGCTGTTGTTTCTGCTGCTGTCGTTTTTGGACGCCCCAAAGATTGACCGTTTCGTTGCGTCTGGCTGATTGGGTCCGGAGCTGTCCGGCAGTCCGTTCCCCGCAGCCTGTGCTCAGTGCAAGGAACGGGTTTTTAAGGAAACGGCCAAGATTTGAGAGGGTCGAGGTTGTGCTGCCGAAATGAAGTGACGTCTCTAGCCTCCATCAGGGACGCATGGACAGGGCTGTCCCGCTGTTCCATGCTGCCCCTCGCTGTTTCCGCGCCCAGCCCACGGCCCGGCCCACGGCACGGCCCGCGGCCCGCATAGTCAGCCGTTTGTGGCGGCATCGAAGGCCGTCGCGGGCCACCCTGCATTCGCGACCCCTCCTGGCCGCGCGAGCCGCGCGTCCCCTAACGAGAACTACTTACTTGAATACAACTAGCGGCGAAAAGGGCAGCAACAATAAGAACAACAACGACATGCTGGCCGACATGCAGCACAATGAATGGCGACTGCTCGTCTGCTGCCGGCCGGGACCTCTGAGTGGACTGACGGGGACCCTCGCCCAGCCGCGCCCCGCCCGGCTCGCCCTCATTCAGGTTGTTATGGCGAAATTACACGTCTCTGGGGCATTTCGGGACTGACGCCGCTGCGCGCGCTGCGCTGTGCTCCATTCAGCGGAGCTTTATACTGCAGGTTCGCAGAAGCGCGTGGCTCGGCGGCTCGGCGTCCGCGCCGGCCTGATTGAGAAAGTCGCGGCATGACCTGCCCGCGGCATGACCGCCGCGATGGCCCGGCCGGGGTCACGCGGGGTCATCGCGTGAGTCAGAGCCGCGGCGTCGACAAGCAGGCCCCGCTTGAGGTAGGCCTCGGCCGGCCGGTCGGCGAGTGCCAACAAAGTGGCCCCCGCGATGACATGTGTCGATACGCCGTGATACGCCGTGATAGGAGCGTTCTGTCTTGTTGTGAAAGGGGAGCCGGCCGCCACCGCCATGCCACCGCCATGCCGCGACGGATGGATAGATGGATGGGTGGATGGATGCCTCCGTAATCTCTTTACAGCCACTGGGTTGCTCCGCTATTGCTCCGCCTGACCCGAGGCGGCAGTTCGCATTATCCGTGGAAGCCATCCAACCTCCAACACTATCGGCAACTTCATCTAACCCGCTCTCCAACGCGCTCGCTGTTGCAGGACCTGTATAGGCTATTGGAGAGCCACCAGTTCTCGCCGCACAACCACCCCAAGCTGCAGGCGCTGTGGCTCAAGGCGCACTACGTGGAGGCCGAGAAGCTGAGGGGGAGGCCGCTGGGCGCCGTCGGCAAGTACAGAGTCCGCCGCAAGTTCCCTCTGCCTAGGTAAGAGTAGTCTCACTCCCCATTTTATTTACCTATGTTCGCATTGTTCTTGTTCTCAACCTTCTTCCCCTACGCCCGTGCAGGACTATTTGGGACGGCGAGGAGACGAGCTACTGCTTCAAGGAGAAGTCGCGGTCCGTGCTTCGCGACTGGTACCAGCACAACCCCTACCCGTCGCCGCGGGAGAAGCGGGAGCTGGCCGAGGCGACGGGGCTCACCACCACCCAGGTGTCCAACTGGTTCAAGAACCGGCGGCAGCGCGACAGGGCCGCCGAGCACAAGGACGGGTGAGTCTCGGACACCAAGGCGGTGCCCGCGTTCACGCTCACGCCCGAGCTTGCTCTTGTAAACACGGGAACCGAGGTCCATGGCGAGTGGAGGCTGCGCGCGGCTGTCAGTCCGTCAGTGTCCGCGCCGCCCCGCGCCGCGCAGTGTGTGCTTTGGTTTTAACGAGGCTGCCCGTTTAGAACGGGATGGAACGCATCGAGCGCCGCGTGTCATTCTGTGTCATTTTTTTGGTGCCCGAGTCAACCCCAGGGGAGTGCAAACGCACCTGGACGCACCCCTTCCACTCCCTCGAGGCCCTCAACGAGCTGAACCCCCAGCGCGCCACTCCTATCCGCCACTCCGCGCCTTTTGAAAAGGCGTCAACGAGCAGCGCGGCCTAGCCATCCCGCTTCGCTTTATATATAGATAATCAACATCCTCGCTTCCTTCCCTTCGCACCTCCGCAGGAATGCCGTTAAAAAAGTCAAACAGACAGGGCCATCATCGCAGGGGAGCAGCGCAAGCAACGCGGCCTCGAACTCTCCAACGAGCAGAGCGGGGCGGAGCGCGGAGCAGCCCCCGGCCCGGCCCGGCACGCCGAGGCACGCCGCGGCGTTCCCGGGATGCCGTCGGCCTCGCAGTCAGGGCGCTGTCATGTTCACAGCCCGTCCCGCTAACGACCCTGCGTCGCTCTGCGTCGCTCTGCGTGCCGCTGGGGCTGGGGTCACCCCCGGGTCACCGGCTTGGAGGCTCCGGGGTGCCCGTCGACAACCCCACCGCGGCCCCGCCAGCCCCTGGAGTGCCTCGCCGCGCCGCCGCGCCCGACGGCCAGGTCTGCGGTGGGGCCTGTGTCGCGGGCGGAGCGTGCGGAGCGTGCGGCAGGACGCGGCGACCTCAAGCATGGTCTCGCTTGGCCTACATTCCGCGCCAGGATTAGTTACCTGGCGCCGCGGCTGGCGGCGCGGGCGGTGGCGGTGAGGTGCTCCGAGTGATCCGGGGCGACTTGAACGAAGGGGTGGCCGGCGTCAGTCATGATCCGGATCCTGGATTTGAGGCGGCGGGGGCGGCCGAGCCGTGGCGCGGAGCGCGGAACGACAGACACAACAGGAAACACAAGGCGGACAGAAATAAACAGCTGCAACCCGAGCCCCCGATGGCCCGGCCCGGCCCGGCCCGGCCCGGCCGGCGTGGGGAATAGAAGGGGCTGCCCTCTCGCTCCCTCTCACTCCCTCTCACGTGACGTGACGCCTCGTGACGCCACGTGACTCATCTGGAGGGCACACGTCGGACAAATGGCGCGATTTGCGCCGCGGGATCGCACCGCGCCTCCAGGGGGTCTGGACAAGTGCACGCGGACTCTTTCTAGTGTAGTCGCCCGGAAGTCTGGTCGTGGCGTGGTGGCAACGCTCTGGAGACGAGGTGTTCCCCTTGACAAATCGCCTGAATAGCGCCTCGGGCGCCCCGTGCCCCCCGTGCCCCCAATGAAGGCGTCATCTTGAGCGAGCGGCAGAGCGGCCCACACCTCGCCGTCTTTACCACCGGCCGTGTGGCACCGTGTGGCACTCTCTCATAGTTTTCATAAATTTTGTCTCCCAAGGTGGCCGTAAAAAGAGGATAAGGGCGTAAACAAAGGCGGATTTACAGATTACGGAGGGGAAGGGTGCCGGGTTGACGGGTTGGATCCACGCAGCGGGAGGCAGACCGGTGGGTACACTGTTCAGCCGTCTCTGACTCCGAGGGGAGTTCATTTCTCTCGCACCCTTGGGGCGTGGGGCGTCCCGTCTGGGCGCGAGAGAGACAGATCGATGGGGGCCCTCGCGGGCCTGCTCGGAATCTGGAATCATCCTGCAGGCGAGCCGAACCTGACCGCTAGGACCTTCCAAGGTGGCTGTGGCGTGCGGCTTTGCTGCGGTCTTTCGCGCCTCGACGCGACGCCAAGCGACGCCAAGCGACCGCTTTCTCCAGCAGCTCGCGGCGACGGGCGTCGGTCGCTCCCCCGGGTCATCGAGTGCGCCGTCGTCGTGCACGTTGTTTGATTTGGTCGGTCTTGTCGGGCGCGCGTTTAAGGTTGTAGCCGCTGCCGCTCCCGCTGGGTCCTATTTGGAGCCTTGATTGATGACGCGAACGCCGCGCACGCCGCGCTCGCCGTTCCCAGGGCCGTCGCCGTCCGCCCCACAGAGTGCCCTAACAAGACCAACGAGGCGCACCGAGGCGCACCGAGGCGAACGCGGCCAAACGGAGGGATGCTAATTTGTCGCCAATCTGCTTCACTTTGCCTTTGCCGGTCAACCTTAGGTTTGGCGAGACGGCTTCAGGTACGCCGCGCCTGTCTCCGAGCAAGCCCCCAGCCGGCACGCCGAACGGCCATGATTAATTAATGATTCCTCATCACCGGCCGATCGCCTGCAGGGCCTGCAGGGCCAGCAGGGTGTAAGGTTGGGCGCGAGCAACGCGGCGGCAGCAATCGAAGGGGGGCCTCGCCGAGCTGGGCGCTCTCGGCCTGTGCTCTAGGGGCCCTCTGGGGCGCTACGCTACACGTGCCGGTGTCGGCGAGTACTGCTGGGTCGGGGCGTCGGCGTCGGGGCCGGCCAGCGAGCGCCACCTCTAGCTGCCGCCGGACCAGCTCCGCGCCGCCACGCCCCAAATAGATTAGCGACGGTCCCCGCGCACAGCGTGGCACAGCGTGCGACGCGCAACAAAATAGAACGAACAACCAACGCTCTCCTGCCTGCCTGCCAGCCCGCAGGCCGCAGCCGCAGCCCGACTCGGCCCACTGCCGCCGCCACGCCGTACCACGCCGTGGGTCCTGCAAGGCTGCGCCATGGCTGTGCGCTGCGCCGTGCTGGCCGTGCTGGCCGTGCTACTGCTGCAGCGACGGTGGGCGCGGGCGCGGCGGTGTTTGCCCGGTAACCCGATACGTCTAGCTCGCGGGGGCACCGTCTAACCTCCCCGCTCGCTCCACTCCCCTCGCCCCCCTCCCCGCCCGCGTCCCCTCTCCCCCCGCCGTGCCGGTCCCTCCCCCTCCCGCATCAGTTTGCTTCCCCTCTCGCTGTCTGTCAAGTTCCATCTCGTTCTAACAGGCAAAACACCCCAGCCCCGCAGCCCCGGGTCGGGCTTTTTGTCTTTTATAATACGCTGGCCTATGCTGCTTGCTCCTGCTGCTGCCGCCGCCCATCATGTTCGCTACCGACCGCGGCCTGACGCACACCTACACCGCGCCTACACCGCCAAGCCTCGCTGGGCTTTGGGCCCCATTCCCCAAATTTCCGACGCTCCTGGCGAGCAGCGGGCAACGGCACTGGTACGGGGGAAACGACACACGCACAGCCGCTCGCGTCGGGTGGTCAGACTGGTCAGAATGGTTGTTCAAATCACTCAGTCTCGAGATCTCTTGCACGATACTATCGACTACACGCAGCGATGTATCGCACGTGGAACCGGTTCACACGCGTGGCGGCCGTGGCGGGCAGGGCAGCGCGCTGGCGGGGCAACGCCGGCAACGGGCAGGGGCCGTGGGCAGGGCGAGCAGGGGCCAGGCCGGGGCCTCCGTCACCTCGTCACTCAGTCCGAGGCTCGTCCTGCCTAGTCCTGCCTAGTCCTGCCATGTCGACGGTCTCGCCGGTCACGGAGTCGCAGGGTCTGTCCGCGTCACTTATCTGTCGGGCGGGCAGCCCCGGCAGCCGGCGTGTGCAGTCCGCGCAAGCCGCGTTAATTGGTCAAAACATTGGGCTCGCCGCGTGTGAGGAGCGTGCGGTCCGCGAGCTGGGGCGGTCGCGGGGGCGGTCCACGAACGGCGTCGGCCCCCCTCGGCGGCGACGGCCCACTCAAGGCCCTGGCGGCCAGCGCTGGTGCGCCCGGTGGATTGGTCGTGACGACGGGCCGGACGACGCCTTGGATGACGCACGCTTGCGCACGCTAGCGCACGCGCGGGGCGGAGGCGCCATCGCCGTGCCACTCGGCGGCTGCGTACTCGCCTACCTCCCGGGGCGCCACGCCGCGCCGCCGCGCTGAGTGGTCCATCCAGCGTGACAGCCTCCTTGTCCGGGCGGGGCTGCAAGCACGCTGCAAGCATGACCGTTCAATAAGGCGTGCAGTGCAGGCTCGGCCCTGCCGGCCTGCCTGCCTCGGTGGCGTCCTCGGGGTGTGGCGGCCTGGCTGGCCTGGCTGGCCGAGGCCCTTCCCGTGACCGCCACGCCCTCCGCCCTCCGCCTCCTTCCGCTGTTCCTCGGAAAACAAAACCCCGAACAGCAAAGTATATGCACGCGTCTTTTGACATTTCCTCGAGCGTGGCGGGGCGTAGCGGCGGGGCGGGTGGCATGTGTCCCCGCACAAGAGGACGACGCCTGCCCCCCTCCCCGGGCCGGCCCCCCACCGCGCCCCCCGCGCCCCCCGCGCGCACACATGCACGCCCCACGTCCCGCCCGGCCGTGACTTCTCCTCTTTTGTTCTCCCCGGTCCAGCAGGTTTGGGACAAATGTCTCAGCACCTCGTGGGGGACCTGGGCCGGGGACTGGGACTGGGACCGACCGCCGCGCTGGAGGCAGTTACGCCGTGGCGGGCTGGTCGTGCCCGTGTGTCCGCGTCCCTCCCGGCCCAGCCAGGCCCAGCGCGATGACGGCCGCTAATAAGGGGCCAGGACGAGGTCAGGGAGGCCAGGGCACCGCCGGGGCACCGCCGGGGCGCAACCCCGCTTCCAGGAACGAGGAGAACAAGGAGACGAGCGGCTGGCGTGGAGATGGCCGCCGCCGGCGAGCAGCCAGGCCCGCACTGAGCCCCACAAAAACAAAGGGATGCTGGGAAGAAGGGGAGGCCTGCGGGCCGTTTGAATGAGTGCCCCCCCCCCCTTTCCCCTCCAACCGCCCGGCCGGCGACCGTCACTAAACTAACGCAGTCGAAGAACAAATACTGGACGGGAGGCGACGCGCCGGGGCCTGACCTTCACACATGTTGCCGACACATGTTGCAATCTCTGAGAGCATTGTATCATGAGGGAGAGAGAGGAAATGCGAGGGAAACGTGTTTCGGGAACGCCCCTTGAAGATAGGCCAACCTGCCGCGGTCCGGCCGTCCGGAGTCCAGACGCCAGGTGTCCGGATTCCTGGATTCCTTGAAGGCGGCGAGCGCGGCGAGCGCGGCCTGGTCGCGGAGCGTCATTCCGTGCTTTTGCTGGCTTTTGCTTTCGGCCGGACGCAATGAAAGGAACGACGCCGTGCCGTACCGCCGGCCGCACCGCGCCGCGGATTAGATTCACCGCGTAATCTCTGTTATTGCCGGCGTTGCCGTCCCCGCAGATGGCGGCCGTCTTAATGGCGGTCGCGGTGCGTTTTGCGTTTTCCTCGAACGGGGAAAAAGAAAGGGCCGAGCGGCGGGCAGCGAGAATCAGAGCGAGAACGGGGCGGCTGCGGCGCTGCGGTGGCGTGGCGCGGACGCTCGGACCGCGGCAATAAAATTAGCACAGTGTCCGCCGTACGGCCACGCCCAGCGCCGCCGCCACAGCTTTTGTTGTCCAGCGGGGAAACAATTTCCAGTGGCGGTGCTCCGCGCTCCGCGTGGCTGGCACACCGCCGCCACCCCGCGGAGCAGGGCAAGCAGGGCCGGGAGCAGGCTGCTTGCTGCAGTGAGTCACGCCGTCGCGCGGGAGGCCTGCGGGCTAGCCCAGGGCTGGCCACCCTCCAGCGTCCTTCCCCCGCTTCCGGTTTTTTGGCCACAGCGCCGTCCTGGCGGGGACCTGCGGACAGCCCGACGGCCTGGCCGGCGAGGTCGTGGAGCGGCCGACGCCGCCGGCTTTGTGGAGCACGCGGAGGGGCTGCCCGGCGGGCCGGCCGTCAGGACGGCTCGGTCACCTCACAGCTGATTGGTCACAATCCGGCGGCAGGTTCGCCGTACGGCCCCACGGCCCGGCCCATGGCTCGGCCCCACCCACCGTGAATATCATGGGACGTCGCGCTTCAGTGGCTTTACTCATTCAAGTCGCCTGGCGGCCTGGCGGCCTGGCGGGGCGGGCGGGGCCGCTAGGGCTTCGCGCTTCGCATCAAACGCAGGGCTTGTTATTGTTTTGATCGATGCACCCCTGCCAGGGTGCCGTGCGTTGTGGCTTTCGGCGCGCTCGGCTGCCCCCATGCAGGCCACGCAGGCCGGGGCGGGTCATCGGCTCGTTGCATGATGGGCCGGAGGTACAGTGCTGCCGAATTCAAGTTGTTTATTCGGGTCAAGAATTGGGCGGCGGGCCGGGGCCGAGGCCGGGGCCAGAGGTCGCCATGCTGCGCGATAAAGGCTTGGCTTGCGTCTTGCTCCTGCAGTGCGTCGATAACGCCCGATGCACCCTGACTGCATAGCCACTGTCAGGGAGTCTCATTCGCATTCCGTGTCTGACTGTTCGTTGTCTTTCTTGTCCACAGGCCCGGCCGGAGTCCCTCCGGAGGCGACGGCGACAAGAGCGGCGCGCAGGGGATGGACTCGTCGTCCGAGTCCGTGGACGAGGCCCCCGACCACAAGCCGTCCGAGCTGGCCAGCCACCCTCACCCCCTGCCCCACCACCTGCCGCACTCGACGCAGGCCCTGCTGGCGCAGGACTCGCTGTCCAACCACCACCACCCCGACCTGTTCGGCGACCTCAAGCCCAGCGTGGCGTCCCTCCAGGCCGGCGGCATGTCCGCGGCCGGCGCCTCGGCCTACCCCAGCGGCCAGCTCAGGGTGGGCCCCGGCCTCGGCCCCAGCCCCCACGGCGGCAGCGTCCAGACGCAGGGCCTGATGGGGCTGGACCACTCGCACCACCCGCACCAGCAACACCACCAGCACCACCAGCAGCACGCCGTGGACGGGTCGCTGCTGCACGACTACCACACGTTGTGACAGTGGGCCGCTGGCTATGGCTACAGCCACGGCCAGTGACCCGCGGCACCCCGAGCACCCCGAGCACCCCGTCGGGACTGACTGCACGACCATCCGCCCGGCCACTCACGACCGCTTCATATTTACCTTGATAACGTACTGGAAAATGTGACTGCCGTCTCTACATGTTACTTCTTAGTGTTACATTCCTCCCCTTACAATAGAATCTCTCAATTATTGAGCATTCAAAAACTACTCTGGCTCTTAAAAATAAATTTAAAAAGTTACAAAGGTGGAGCGTGGTGCGTTAGAGCTTTACAGGCCTCGTGATGGACTATGCAATTATTATTATTATATTATAATTATATTACTATTATTACTTTTATTATTATTATTCGTCCTCGCCCTCGTCCTCTGCAGGTCGGAGGCGGAATCAATATCTTAGACCTCAAGGCAAGTCTGTCCGGCGCCGCGCACTCGATCTACTTGCCAGTGGAGCAGCTCAGTTCTCACCCCTCTCCGCCGTCGTGCCACCGTGCCGTCGTTGTCAGGCGAATGGCGGAGACGGGACCTAAAAATTTGGGATGGCCGACGTGGAGTCGCCGGGACGGCGGATCTCAAGTTTCAAAAAGCGTGTCCCAGATGAATTCTCTTTCTTTTTATTGTTATTTTCCGCTCTAAATGATGGATCGACACGGCGCTTGGCGTGGCGGGTCGCTGCTAAACAGCGTGTGCGCCGTCCCGGACCGTCCTGGACCGGGCCGTAGCGCACGGCGTCCGCAGCGTCCGCAGCGTCCGCGGCGGTAGAAGACTGATTACTATAGACAATATTGCTGGCCGGCACTCGCACAAAACGTTGGCCGTCCCGCCGTGCCGGCCGGCCGGGCGCACTGCCGGTCTCTGAGGTCGCGGAGGCTACAGGATCATGTGATGTTATTTTATGTGTAAGAAATTGATCTATTGTTGTAAATACTAAATGATATTATGCATATTATTGGTCGGTACTCTTATGCAAGTGTGATATGTACCGGGCCAGATCGGCCCGGGATGAGACTATTTAAACCAAATTATTTAATCTGTCAATGGTTAAGTTTAAATTTTTCGTTTTCATTTTTGTACTGTGACGTCGTGATTTTGAGGGGGGGTTTTAGACGACTAAATCTAGCAATATGAGGGACTTTTTCTGTCGCATGGGCATCGGCCTGTGCAAGCCATAGTGCAAGCCATGCTCCCAAACTTTATCTCAAAGTTTAGAAAATGCTAATTAGTGTCGGCTTGTTTGTACTGCCAGTTCTCTCATTTGCTGAAATGTTCTTTTTTACTCGTCTGTAGACGCCTGTTGTGATTTTGTTATCTCTTTGCACAAGGTTTAGTTATTATAATTATGATGGTTGTGTTTGTTCTGAAAAAGAAAAATCGGAGCGGCCCAAAGACTCGCAAACTGCACGGTCACAGTATGTACAGATGTAACAACTAGTCAACAGATATTAGGTCACCTATTAAATAATAATTGTTTCAAACAGAAGCCCGGCTTCAATCATTACTTCCCATTACTCCTTCATGCGAGGGCTGGGGCGGGGCCCATTGTGTTCGCGGGCCGCTCGCCCCAAGGAATTCTTCGAGGACCGGGAGAAACTTGATACACTGAGCACGCGGTACCCGATGGCCCGATCGGACTGCAAGTCAAACACACTTCCAGAAAAAAGGAGCGAGGCTGCGTCCTCTTTTTAGTTTCATTTATTTTTACTGGTAATGGAGCCAGTCAGGTGCGATGAATGAATTCATCCAGAGGGGACTGCGGCCCCGACGCGTGGCTGGACAGCCCAAAGTGACAGGGGACGACGACGGCGAGGTGCTCGGCGTCGTCCCCGAGGCCGGGGCGAGCTGGCCGTCTGCGACTTCAGACAGGAACAGAATCAGTTTTCAAAAACATTCTGCACGGTGTTCCACTCTCTTTCTTTGACGGAATTGAATCGCACCAAATGAAAGACCCATAGAGAGTAATTTTGAACGCATGTACATGAGGTGACTCGAACACCGGTTCTCAGGGGTGGGTTTCCACGACGCTGCGCCCTCGGCCACGGTGTCGCCCTGCCAGACCTGTCTTGTTTTCCTTGTTTTCTTCGCGCATTTTGACAGCCTTGGCTCATTACGCAGCGCTAATGAGATGGCCGACGCCGTTCAAACCATCTGTCCATCTGTCTTCGGCTTGAGTAAACCACGCCCCGCCCCGCATCGACGGCGTTGGTGTTTCCGACCTTATTACTCGCCTAATCATCGGCCTTAAACGGTTACGGGTTTAATGAACGGCTATTGGTGTGCCCCTCCCCTCCCAGCACCTCCCCCGGCTGCCAGTTCCTGTTACATCCTCGGGGACTCCTCTGCGGTCGGGGCTCGCACCCCGGCTGCCTCTAGGCTGCCTCGCCCAGCTTGCCTACGCCGATTTAGATGTTATCGCTCCGCGCTGTGCCGCGCTGGGCCGCGCTGTGCAGCCGTGTCGGCAGATATGATCCGTCCATCGCGCACCCTATTTAGGCACTGCCGGCACAAAAACACACATCCTGCCGTCGCGACGCAGCTAGACGCGACACCCGCAGCAGCCGCCTCGTTCCGCCGCCCTCTCTGTCGCACTCATGGGGCGGCGTCGGCCCGCGAGGGAGTGCGAGGGAGGCAGAGACACTCTTCGGAATCGCTCGGCAGGGCGGCCCTGGCCTTGGCCCTGGCCGCGGGGATGAGCAACGCAGCAACGCAGCAGAGCGAGCAGCTGTTGCAAATGTCAATTTTCATTCGGCCTTGACGCTGGCTGCGACGGGGTGCTTCACAAAGACGTTACGTGTCTCGACGATGGAAAACCTATCGGAGCGGGGTGGGGACGGGAACTATACGGCAGGGCGCGACTCGGCGACGGACACCGCTGGAAGGCGCGGCCGCGGGGCCGGCAACCCTTCTCCACCCGGGCGGGCTCGTGAACCCCGGCCGGTGCTCATCGTTTGTCCGACCTGTCCAAATTTCACTTGCCCGTGAATCGGCTGAAAATTTTGTCCGACCCACTTACACCGCCACACGGTCAGGCTGCAGCTAGAGAGCAACTCGCCGGCGCTCAATGGATCTAAACACCCGCGGCTCCCTCTCTATGTCAATCAAGACTGGGTGCAGGACAATCCAAAGACATTTTAACACAAAATGTATTCAGAGTAACAGAAGTAAAATCAACACTATAAAGAAAATTTCAGCGAAAGAGGGCACCCCGGCGAACCGGCCCTCTTCCCCGCTGGCTTGGTGAGCCAGTGGTTCCCCCATCTCATCACAGGAGCAACCTCAGAGTTAAACCGCAGTGGCCCCGTCATTGGTCACGTCATCTGTGATGTGGAGGAGTCCTCTCATAGTAGGCCAGGCTGCCACCTTTCCCAGTAGTCGGGTTTCGTTCCCGGCCCCCTTCCCACTCAGGGGCCATGCTACTGGTACTCAGGAGTCTGCGTCACCCTGCCCAGCAGCGGAACCACTGGGCTATGAGAGGCACACTGGACGCCAGCCGATTTTGTATACTTGAACCGCCTTCTTGCGATGCAAGCTTGGTCAAAATATTCAAGAACGTACTGGGTGTCGAACCCCGGACCCCGCAGTTGGGAACCGACGCCTCTGTGCACTCGGCCACCAAGGCCCATGGATGACGCTGTGCGAAGGGGAGCCTTTGAAGCCGCTGGTCCGAACCGTATAGTCAGACAAAAAGAGCGGGATGCTGGTATTCGATCGCTCGATCGGCGTGTAGGATTGAAACATCTCTACACGTTCGGCCACCGTGGCTCATCGGGGGAGTCGAGTGGCGCGACGGATCCAAACCGGATCGGAAAGTCACTCCCAAAATGTAAAGAGTTGCCGGGAGTCGAACCCTAGCTAGCGATGCAAGCTTGGTCAAAATATTCGGTACTGTACTGGGTATTGAACCCCCGACCCCGCAGGATATGACGCCTCTGCGCTCTCGGCCAACACAACCCTTGGGTTACGATGTGCGAAGGGGAGCCTTTGAAGCCGCTGGTCCGAACCGTATAGTCAGACAAAAAGAGCAGGACGCTGGTATACGATCGCTCGATCCGCGTGTAGGATTGAAACATCTCTACACGTTCGGCCGCCGCGGCTTACCAGGGGAACCAAGTGGCGCGACGGATCCAAACCGGATCGGAAAGTCACTCCCAAAATGTAAAGAATTGCCGGGTGTCGAACCCTAGCCCCTGGAGGTGCGGGCCGACGCCTCTGCGCGCTCAGCCGCCGCTCGTTCTAGACAGTTCGTCACTCAGGGTCCCACTCGTGGCTTCACACAGTGGCATCCCGAGGAAATCATGATCACGCGCAGGGGCTAGGGTTCGACTCCCAGCAATTCTTTACATTACAGGAGTGGCTTTTCCGAAGCGGTTTGGACCCGTTGCGCCACTCGGCTCACCCAGTGAGCCGCGGCGGCCGAACGTGTAGAGATGTTTCAATCCTACACGCGGATCGAGCGATCGTATACCAGCATCCCTCTCTTTTTGTCTGACTATACGGTTCGGACCAGCGGCTTCAAAGGCTCCCCTTCGCACAATGTCACCTAAGGGTCGTGGTGGCCGAGAGCGCAGAGGCGTCAGTTCCTGCGGGGTCGGGGGTTCAATACCCAGTACAGTACCGAATATTTTGACCAAGCTTGCATCGCTAGCTAGGGTTCGACTCCCGGCAACTCTTTACATTTTGGGAGTGACTTTCCGATCCGGTTTGGATCCGTCGCGCCACTCGACTCCCCCGATGAGCCACGGTGGCCGAACGTGTAGAGATGTTTCAATCCTACACGCCGATCGAGCGATCGAATACCAGCGTCCCGCTCTTTTTGTCTGACTATACGGTTCGGACCAGCGGCTTCAAAGGCTCCCCTTCGCACAGCGTCATCCATAAGCCTTGGTGGCCGAGAGCGCAGAGGCGTCGGTTCCCAACTGCGGGGTCCGGGGTTCGATACCTAGTACGTTATTGAATATTTTGACCAAGCTTGCATCGCAAGAAGGCGGTTCAAGTATACAAAATCGGCTGGCGTCCAGTGTGCCTCTCATAGCCCAGTGGTTCCGCTGCTGGGCAGGGTGACGCAGACTCCTGAGTACCAGTAGCATGGCCCCTGAGTGGGAAGGGGGCCGGGAACGAAACCCGACTACTGGGAAAGGTGGCAGCCTGGCCTACTATGAGAGGACTCCTCCACATCACAGATGACGTGACCAATGACGGGGCCACTGCGGTTTAACTCTGAGGTTGCTCCTGTGATGAGATGGGGGAACCACTGGCTCACCAAGCCAGCGGGGAAGAGGGCCGGTTCGCCGGGGTGCCCTCTTTCGCTGAAATTTTCTTTATAGTGTTGATTTTACTTCTGTCACTCTGAATACATTTTGTGTTAAAATGTCTTTGGATTGTCCTGCACCCAGTCTTGATTGACATAGAGAGGGAGCCGCGGGTGTTTAGATCCATTGAGCGCCGGCGAGTTGCTCTCTAGCTGCAGCCTGACCGTGTGGCGGTGTACGTAAGTGGGTCGGACAAAACGGAGGTCAAACAAAAGAAGATCGGACAAAATTTTCAGCCGATTGACGGGCCGATGAAATTTGGACAGGTCGGACTAAAGAAGGTCGGAGCTCGCGGCCAGCGCGCTCTGCCAGCGGCAGTCGACACCGTCGACACCTCCCCGTGCCATATGCCTGGCAATGCCTGGAGAGCCTCCCCTCGGCTTGGCGTGGCTTGGCGCGGCTCGGCGAAACTGAAACTCGATTCCGCAGTCCGCACCGGGTTATCATTCCTAATGTGACGGCCACTCAATGCCGCTATCTGGCCGCACCATCTCGTGGACTCGCCGGCGGCATGGCAGGGCTGGCAGGCAGGGCTGGCAGGCAGGGCTGGCAGCCCCGCAGTTTCACTCTTTCCCCGGGAACTGCACCCCAACGACATTTCTCAAACTCGGCAGTCATTTGTCAGCTCGGCGGTGGCAATCGCCGCGCTTTCCACCGGTTTTTCTGACGGGGGTTGTCTCCAGGTTCCTCGTGCCCCCGGGCGCCCGGCCGCGACGACGCGGGGCTGCGGGGTGGCGATGGTGGTGCGATGGCGGTGCCGCGGTGCCGCGATGGCAGGCGGACTCGGACCGGTAATCGGATCACTCGGTTTGACGCCCAGGCCACGGGGGCAGCGACCAGGGAACAGGGTCCCGGCCAGTCCCGGCGGGCTGGAGCCGCGGGCACTGCAGTGTGGGCACTGGGGAGCTGGACAGGCTGATTCCCTGGTTCGTCGTCCTAGTTTGTCGCTGTCTCTCTCGCGCCCCTATCGGACGCTGAAGGGGTGCGCGCGCGAGACAGAGCGACGAAAACGCTGTCCGGAATCTGCGAGTACGCAGCGCCGCGTGATCTCAGTCCCATTGCCTTGCGGTTTCCCTAAATAGATCCCGAGAATGGCACCTTGAACGGACGTGCGGCTCGCGTCCAGCCCTGTGCCTCGCCGGCAGTAAGGTTGGTTGTAGTAGGTTAGTCCCGA